TGGATTAGAATAATTTATTTATTATTTTTTATAATATATGTTTTGATTTCAGAGAGGAAGGAAGAGGGAGAGAGAAACAGAAACATCCATGATGAAAGAGAATTATTGATCGGCTGTCTCCTGCAAGTTTCCCAATGAGGATTGAGTCCACAACCAGGGCATGTGCCCTTGACCAGAATTGAAACTGGGACCCCTCACAGGCCAACACTCTATCCACTGAGCCAAACCAGCCAGGGCGAGTTAGAATAATTTAAATCAATTCTAACTAGAACTTTGCTGATAACTTTGATAATTCTATGGTGTTATTTAGCCACTTTGATTTCAATCACTCAGTATTACCTTATTTGAAATTCACACATAATGTTAATTTCCTATATAAAGTTTAAATTTAAGGTGTTATAAAGTATTATACCTTTCAACCTCTCAAGTGCTATGCAAATATAATGATGTCTTTATATTACATCAATATAGATAAAATCCTAAGTGACGTCGCAATGCTAGCCACCAAACAGATGACCGAACAGGTTGCATGAGGTGACCAGGCCAGCAGGGGGGTTAGGGAGGGATGACCAAACCACTGAGCAACAGGCTGCGTGAGGCAACCAGGACGACAGGGGAGACAGTTGGGGATGACCAATCAACTAAGCAGCAGGCTGTGTGGGGTGACCAGGCCAGCAAGGGGTGGGACAGTAAGGGGTGACCAGGCCAGCAGGTGGGGGGCAATTGGGGGTGTCCAGGCAGGCAGGCAGGTGAGCAGTTAGGAGCCAGAGAGGGATGTCCGACTGCCAGTTTAGGACATTTCCCAAGAGATCCTGGATTAGAGAGGGTGCAGGCTGGGCTGAGGGGGATCCCCCTCCCCCCATGAATGAATTCCTTGCACTGGGCCTCTAGTTGAATAATAAACACTGAAAGAGTTTTATTAGAATGTCAACAGAGGGACACTTTCTAAGTATGTTCTAACTATTTCTAAAATGTTCTATTAATGGTAGTAAAGTTTAATGCTCGTTATCTTCTAAACTCACATTAGGTTTTATATTTTAAAATGCTTGTTTAGTTAATAACATTGCATTATTTGCCTTTATGGGGAAAAGAAGAGAACGAAGCTACTATAGATGTAGTTATCTATTCTGTATATAGTTTCTCTACCAAAAACGGTGGCCCCCTGTATTTAAGTGGAATGAAGCTATCAAAGATTTAATACTGAGATTCAAACTGCTCCTGGACTATACCATACGAACAGCATTTCAGTCGGATACAGATAACCAAGAATGAGAGTAAACATAAGCATTGGGTTCACCAGTGCCTTAACCAAGAGAAAACCTATAGATTTTTCATTTGGGAAAGATTAATAAGCATCTGAATTTGGGCCGGCTTCTATAAAAGTTCAACAAATTAGGGCAGAATCCAAACTGAGATGGACTATAAAGTCTGAGCTGGACTAGTAAGACTTAGGAATGCACACTAATCAACTATCAAGATCAACTGGAAACTTTGCTTAGGAATTGACCCAATCTTACTTTTTAAGATTTTTCTTAAATTGATTTTCAGGAAAAGGGGAAGGGGGGGAGAGGGAAAGAAACATCCATGTGAGAGGGGAACATTGATCAGCTGCTTCCTGCATGCACCCCGACCAGGGATCAAGTTTGAAACCTGAACGGAACCAACCAGCAACCCTTCCTTGCAAGGGATGAAGCCCAACCAACTGAGCCACACTGGCCGGTGCTAACCCAATCTTATAAAAAAGTTTATCTCTGTAGAAAAGGAAGAAAGCAAATTATTAGAGAAAGGTAGAAACACTAATTATTTGCACAGCGTTTTGGCACAAAATGGAAACAGAGAGCATGAAGTAACAGACTAGAGCCCTGAATCTTTTCCATCGCTAGCCTTGGACCAAATATATGGTGACAGAAGATGGTCTCTGGGTGGTGAGAATACAATGCAGTATACAGACCATTTGCCATAGAAATGCTCACTTAAAATCCATATAATCTTATTAACCAATGTTACCCCAATAAATTAAAAAAACAAACAAAAAAACCCCCAAAGTAGTCAGCTAAGAGGCTAAAAACAAAAGTTTTAGCTTCTTAGCTGAAAAACAAAAACAAACAAACAAAAAACCAAATAGAATGTTTTTGAGTGAATTTAGTAATTAGTATGCTAAGAAACCAGGCAATAGCAACATTATTATATTATGAAAAACTTACACCAAACTAATAAAGTTAAGTATAATATTTTTTTAAAACCCCTTTTACATTCAAATATTTATTGTCTGGCACTGTGCTGAGAACACAAAAGAGGAAAGAAAACTGCTTAAAAATGTTTACTGACATAGACAAAGAATATACTTTAGTTTTAGGTATGGAATTATTTTATTACCACTTTTTTGTTAGTTTCTAAAAACCTGCACAATGATATAAAAACAGGAATTTTGTGGGTTTCAGTTTTACCTCAACTAGTTCCTCACTTCCTTCCTCCCCGCTCCAACATTCCTAAGATTTCAAAAATAATCTTAGAATACTAGAATGATTATAATGTTCCAGCGCATCACTGTGGTTGATATGAAAATGTATTATATTTGTAAGAACTGAGAACCGACTTCAGATAAAGTGAGAAGAAAATTTAATTTTAAATTAATTTTCTCACAAAGGTTTAACTGGCATTAAGAACATAAAACCTCGAGTGTAGATAGAATATAAAAATACTCCTAATTCAAATTGAGACAGCTGTTTATTAGAGAAGAAATATTTATAAGGATGGTACCAGAGAAATATATATATTTATATATTCTTTATATAATGATTAAGTTAAAATACATATATAAAAAAAGGCTAGAAAAGCAACTGTGAAAGTTCTGTAGAAAATTCCATCACAGCATGAAAACCATTAATGATTTTGCAGGAAGCACTAGTTAGAAAAAGTTGGCTAACCGAATAGCAAGAGTAGCCAATTAGGATTCAGCAAAACAGGTTTCTAGTATTAGCCCTATCAGTGGGAATAACTATTGACGGCAGATCAATGAAATTAAGATCACATATACTAGACCTAGATGATCAGGCTTCAAAGTCCAGGACCGTCAATTACTGCTCTGCAACTTCAAAGTGTATTTCTTGGGTCTCAAAGGTTAGGTTCCACCACCTCTAAAATGGATAAAAGGAGCTATCCCAGGGCTATTCTGAGCTAACATAATCCATGTAAGGTGCTTATTTAGAACAGTCCCTGGCACAGAATTGCTCACAGTAAATGCTGGGACTTAACAACAGCTTGCCATCACCATTGGTGGAACCTTCAACAGTCCCACAGTCTGGCTGTTTCCTTCAGTGTAAAATACAGATTTGAGCTAGATCATTTCTAATGCTTCTGCCCATCTGAAATGAAAGTCTACAAGTAAAAGAATATATAGGGCCAACTCTATTCCCAAAGAACATACATTTATAACCTTTCATGCTAGCATGACGAAAGGCACAGTAATTTAAATGACTCGGAAGAATCATATTTTTTAAATATGTTCTATTTACTACACTTATTAAAGCCAAAGTTACGTGTGAAACCTACTGGAAATCCATGAGCTTCTGTCAATTATCATGTTCAGCAACTAGAATTCTTCCAGAGAGTATCACAGCAAAACTGTCATAACCAATTTGTTCTTAAATAAAAGATGACTGTCACATAAACAACTCTACATGTTTTTAGCAGTCTACTTATGGTTATCATTTTGACTTTTAATATAGAATATCTATATATATTAATTTGGTGCCTACAACAATTTCTGAAAAGTAAGTCCTAACAGGAATCTCAAGGTATATCATCCTAATGTGCATTTTTTTCTCTTTCTTTTTCTTATTATAGGAACATTTCTTATTTCCTACTTAATTAATAGAAAAAGATAATGAAAACTATCAAAAAGAATGAAATACTGCTTTGAAATCCAAAATCTACAGAGCTAAAAAAAAAATTTCTCTGAAGTTACAATTCAAAATTCAAAAGACTTAAGGTAAACTTTTTTATTATCATCAGAATTTTAAGATTCTTTTCAGCCTGACTCAAATATTTTTAAAAACCACAATTTTATCATGATAACATCAAGATTAAAGAAACATCTCCCACATGTTTCTTGGGTGCAAATTATTGCCATCTACAGACACATTAACTGTGCACTAATCCAAATAAGTAGTCTGAATAACAGATTTTTAAAAAAGTATTTGGAGAACTGTTAGAAATACTACTAAGACATTTTAAAAGCCTTTTTCATTTTAAGAAATTATTAAAGGTGTGAGTGACCACTAAAAGCTAAAACTTCATTCTTTATTTTTTTCTAGATAGTAAGATAGCACTGAGGAAACCAACATGGAATACAATTACATTTGCCCATTAAAATAAATGTTTGGTTACCTTAGTTCTCAATTAAATCAAAACAAACCACACACACACACACACACACACACACACACACACACACACACTTCTGTTAAAATCTCACAATTTTGTAAGCTCTCAAAGCACAAAACACCCGTATCAGCCAATACTCCTCATTTTTGATATTAGCAAAAACGGGATTAGCACTGTGGGAGCTTTAAAAAAAGATTTTTTAAAAATAAATTCTTGGCTCTGCTAACTTCAGCTTTGTTTCCGCAAACTCTTTTATCTTGAACAGATCTCCACACTTGACACAATTTGCAACCATTTAAGAAAGGGCTGTTTTACCTCCTAAAACCAGCTCCCATACAGCAGCTGTATAATAAAGTTCATGCCAAGCCAGGACTGGTTTGGCTCAGTTGGATAAAGCGTCGGCCTGCGGACTGAAAGGTCCCAGGTTCGAATCCAGTCAGGGGCATGTACCTGGGTTTCGGGCACATCCCCAGCGGGGAATGTGCTGGAGGCAGCTGATGGATGTTTCTCTCTCATCGATGTTTCTATCTATCCCTTACTCTCTGTTTAAAAAAAAAAAAAATCAATAAAAAAAAAAGTTCCTGCCAGAAAACGAACCCCCGCTCGGTACATACCCTCAATGTTCAGCTCGAAACACACGTGGCAGAAGGAGAGGGTCTCCCGGTCCGTTCCCAGCTTGCAGACGCTGCAGACGTTGTCATCGTCCAGATCGATGTTGACAAACTGCTCCTCTGCGCTCATAGTGCCCCTGGGAGGAAAGAGAAAAGGAAAGTTACGCAACGCAACCTCCAGGGCTTGTCCGCGGGGCGATCCTCGGAAACTTCTAGGAAGGGAAGGATGCTGTGGGTTCCGTCCAAATGCCACGGTCCCATCCAACCGGCAGCGGCACCTGGCACTCCGCCACCACACTTCCCCTGCGCACAGACACACACCTGTGACCCTAAAGTAAGGTGACCAGACGTCCCGATTTTCAACAGTCGGTCCCGGGGCGGAAAAAAAAAAAAAAAAAAAAAAAAAAAAGTCCCGATTTTTGCGGGACAAATTGTTCAAAAGCGGGACGTCTGCTCACCTTACCCTGAAGCCTCGCCCAGCTGACACTCTGCCTTATTTTGGTCCCGTATTTCCTTTGGCCGAAGGGGGTGCAGGGGGGCGGGGGAGAGGCTCTGAAGGCAAGCGGTTTGCGGGAGTCCCAGTCCGTCCTTCCATCTCCCGATCAAGCCTTTCCCGCTGCCCGGGGTCTGGGCACCTGCTGAACGCGGTTAAAAAACGCAGGGAAAGCGACCTGCTTCGGACGTTGCTTGCAAACTTCACTGCGGGAACCTGAGCTGCCCTTTCGCTAACTCGGGGCAGCGGGGCTTCCTGTCTGCGATCGGCGGCCGGAAGACGCACGTGCAAACGCAAACACCGGGGGTGGAAGGGGGTTCCCCTTCGTCCCAAGCACCCGCAGCGCCCAGAGTCGGGCAGCGGCACCCCGCGCGGGGCGGGCAGCGCGGGCGGGCGGGCAGGCGGCGGGGTGACCCGGGCGCGCCGGGAGGAGCCGTGAGTTCCCCTCCCCCCGGGCTCCCGCCCATCCAGAGAGGGATCCCGAGGACCCAAGCCACCGGACTCGGCGCCCAGGGGGAGTCCGTCGGGCCCCCCGGCCCCGCGCCGCCTCCGGCTTTGGGGAGGCGGGTCCACCTCGCGGGGTGCCGCGGTCCCCGGTCCATCTCCCCGTCCGCGAGTCCGTCGGGACGCCCCAAGAGGAGCAGCGCGAGAGGCCGCGGACACGGAGCTCGAAGTGGGCGGGATCGCGGGATCGGGTTGGGAGATCGGGGGGCCGGGGCACCGGGGTGCGGGGTCTTTACCGTCCAACTCCGCGCGCCGCCTCGCCGCTGCCGCCGGTCCGCGCGGCTCGGGCTCCGGCACTATTGTTTCCGGCCGCGGCGCCGGCGGCCAGCGCGCCGGCCACGCCCCCTCCCGCACGTGCCACCCGCGGGCGGCCCCGGGGGGTGGCGGCGCGCGGGGCCGGAAGGGCGCGCTCGCCTCATGGTTGCGGGCCCCGCGTCTCCCCCTTCTGTCCCGAGGCTTCGGCCTCTGTTCGGATGCAGTCGGGACCCCGCGTCGCTTCGCCCAGGTTTCTCCCGGTTCCCCGGGGCGTGGCGCCCTGGGCGCCCCCCACTCCCGCGAGGAGGTGGTGGAGTCCATCGCCGCCTCCGCCCCGCTCCCTTCGTAGTGGAAACTCCGGGCCGGGGCGGGGGCCGCGGGGGCGGGGCCGGACCGTGCGGGGCGGGTGCGAGGACGGGACGCAGATGCGTGGGGAGGACTTTGAACTCGGCAGACCTAAGGGAAGAGTGTTATTCAACTGTGGTGCCCGGAGAAGTATTTAACGAGGGAAACGTTCCAGGTTAAAGTTGCATAATTGAAGGGTACAGTTCCAAAAGCAGAATATTACATGTTACAGTTTTTTTTTGGAAAGGGGCACCCCCCTCTTACACTATGGCACATTCCTAGCCCGCCCCCGGGGTTCTCCCGGAGCCCCGCCTCTTATTCTAGGTCCCGCTCCTTTTAAAAAAGTGTGGTAAGTGAGACTTGGCTCTGCTGGCCTTCCTGGACGTTTTAAGTCATTTTTTCTTTTTTCTTTTTCTTTTTTTTTTTTCAGGGTTTAGTTCCTGCAGCTGCCTGTTTGCGCTTCCATTTTCCATTGTGATCCTCAGGGCAGCCTAGAGAGGGGAAAGCGGACAGGTGTCTCTCATTTGGCAGCCTAGAGGTGGTAACCCAGATTATCAATTGGTTGGTGAGAATCCCAGCTGAGACTTAAAAAAACAAAAAAACAAAACAAAAAAACACATATATTTATTGATTTTTTACAGAGAGGAAGGGAGAGGGATAGAGAAACATCAATGAGAGAGAAACGTCGAGCAGCTGCCTTAGGCACCCCTCCCCCCCCCCCCCCCCCCCCCCCACTGGGGATGTGTCCATGCCCTTGACTGGAATTGAACCTGGGACCCTAGAGTCCACAGGCCGATGCTCTATCCACTGAGCCACACCGGCCAGGGCCCTCTATTTTTCCAGAGCAGCATGTGCACCTGAACTGGTTACATTCACAAATAGAAAATGGGCTGAATTGTCATTCTGCATGGAACTAATGGGAGGAATGGATGCCATACATTTTGGGAATTTATAGACCAAATTGTCACTTGATATAAATCATCCGTGTGTGTTCTTGCTGCTTAAAGTACCAACAGCTTTTTCTTGTCTGTGAAGCTCTATCTCATCTTCAATTCTAAATGATAGCTTTGCTGGGTAGTGTTTTGGGGTTGAACCTTGGGTTCAAAATAAGACCTCCAGAGGCTGATGATTTATTAATAAAAGCAGGCAAAGATTTATTGAAATATCTGGCCAGGACAGCCACAAGAGCACCACATGCAGGCAGACTCCACATGACTGCCCTGCTTCAGGGGCAGGTAGTTCTTTTTCAAGGTTCTGAGAAGGAAAAACCCCTATTTTGCAACAAACTGTTGTTTGGAATTTTCTGCTGTTCTTCTTAGATAAAATGTTGCTTTCTAGTTTGCTTTAGCCCGTTTGAAGAATGATGAAGATAAACTTAGCTGTCTGCCCTTGTAGGCCAGAGACCAGATATGCCCACAATCTCAATAACATGCCAGGTGCACTTTTTCAGTTGGATAGAACTGTATTGTTTTCAAGGCCAACATCAAGACAGCCACTAAGAGCACATAGGGCTGGCTCTTTAATAAAAAATAAATTTAAAAAAGGAAGTTCTGCCTGTAACCTTGCTTAGAATTTGAATTCATCCTCCCTAAGCTCATTGCGTGATGAACAAAGCAAGTATCTCCAAACTCCCCCTGCACCGTCGGACCGCTCGGGAACTCTGAAACAGTTCCCAAGTGGTCTGAAAAACCACAGGAATTTTCCTTTGTTCTAAATTCTAAATCCTAAAGACTGTATTCTAAAAACTGGGGTCAGCCCACAGGGTCGTTCCCAGTCACATCCTGCTGGACATTGGAATGTGGTCTTATCTTGCAGAAGTAGAACTCGGTAGTTAATCTCCAAAGGTTATGGTCCCAGGCACAGGAAAATTGCCTTAGCAGGTTTAAAATTCAAACAGCAGTTTTTACCTGAGATGTATATTCTTAATGTCTTATTTCAGGTAGAGTATTCTTAGTTGTAGGTTCTTGCTATTCATCACTTTGACTATTTCTTGCCACTCCCATATGGCCTGCATGGTTTCTTTGAGAAATTAGCTGACAATCCTATGGGCCCTCCCTTGTAGGTATCTAACTGTTTTCTCTTGCTGCTTTCAAGATTCTCTCTTTGTCTTTAGCCCCTGGCATTTTAATCTTGGTGTGGTCGTCTTTGGGTTCCTCTTATTTGAGACTCTCTGTGCTTCCTGGACCTGTAAGTCTATTTCTTTCACCAGGTGGGACAAGTTTTCTGTCATTATTTCTTCAAATAGGTTTTCAATATCTTGCTCTCTCTTTCTCTCTCTTCTTCTGACACCCCCATAATTCTGATGTTGGTACTTTTGAAGTTGTCCCAGAGGCTTCTTACACTATCTTGATATTTTGGATTCTTATTTCTTTTTGCTCTTCTGATCAGGTGTTTTTTGCTTCCTCATATTTCAAATTGTTGATTTGATTCTCTGAATCCTCTAGTCTACTGTTGAATACCTGTATGCTATTCTCTATTTCAGTTAGTGTATGCTTAATTTCTGACTAATCCTTTTCCATGTATTTGGCATTCTCACTAAGATTCTTGGAAGTCTCATTAAATCTCTTAGAGGTTTCTAGAAGATTCTTGAGTAACCTTATAACTGGTTTTGAAATCTAAATCCAGAAGTTTGCTTTCTTCCATTTTTTTTTTTTTTCCATTTGTGACATGTTTCTTTGTCTCGGCATTTTGGCTGCTTCCCTATGTTTGTTTCTATGTATTGGGTAGAGCTGCTATGTCTCTTTGAATTGATTGAGTGACCTTATATAGTAGGTGTCCTATAGGGCCTGGTGGCTCAGTCTCCCCAGTCACCTAAGGTGGACACTCTAGGGGCACCTCTTTGTGGGCTGTGAGCACAGTATTGTTGTAGTTGAGACTTGATTGCTGTGTGTGTCACTGGGAGAAATTGAGCTACGGGCCAATTGGCTGTGAGGACCAGCTGGGACTACAGTGGGGCTTTGATGCTCACTGGGTCTGCCCCTTGAGTGTGTCGCTTATGGATGTGTAGAGTTATAATCTGGTACGGTCTCATACTGACCACCGGGTACATTGGCTCTTGGGTCTCCAGGGAGGTGCAAAGTCAGCCACTGCCTGGGACCGCCCAGCAGGCACTACAGAGAGATCTGCAGATTCCTCCTCTTCGTATCAGGTTTGGACGTGCTTCCTTTTAGGAGGCTGTTAATTCTAATATCTGATCAGCTTGATGCTGTTGAGGCTCATTTGTAAACTTTGTAAGGGTGTAGATTATCTTTTGCTGTAAGGATTTTCTAGACCTCTTCTTAAGAAGTGGCCAAGGCTTTCTACTGTCTGTCACATGTCTTCAATAAAGTTTCTACTAGTATACTGTAGTTGGATAAAACTCAAATGACTCACCTGGCTGATATGGCTCAGTGACTGAGTGTCGGGCTATGAACCAAGAGGTCATGATTCGATTCCCCTTTAGGACATATGCCTGGGTTGCAGGTTCGGTCCCCAGTAGGGGGCTTGCAGGAGGCAGCCATGAGTAATTCTGTCTCATTGATGTTTCTCTCCCT